TTACCCAGGTACCCTGACGGAACGTCTTACCCAGGTACCCTGACGGAACGTCTTACCCAGGTACCCTGACGGAACGTCTTACCCAGGTACCCTGACGGAACGTCTTACCCAGGTACCCTGACGGAACGTCTTACCCAGGTACCCTGACGGAACGTCTTACCCAGGTACCCTGACGGAACGTCTTACCCAGGTACCCTGACGGAACGTCTTACCCAGGTACCCTGACGGAACGTCTTACCCAGGTACCCTGACGGAACGTCTTACCCAGGTACCCTGACGGAACGTCTTACCCAGGTACCCTGACGGAACGTCTTACCCAGGTACCCTGACGGAACGTCTTACCCAGGTACCCTGACGGAACGTCTTACCCAGGTACCCTGACGGAACGTCTTACCCAGGTACCCTGACGGAACGTCTTACCCAGGTACCCTGACGGAACGTCTTACCCAGGTACCCTGACGGAACGTCTTACCCAGGTACCCTGACGGAACGTCTTACCCAGGTACCCTGACGGAACGTCTTACCCAGGTACCCTGACGGAACGTCTTACCCAGGTACCCTGACGGAACGTCTTACCCAGGTACCCTGACGGAACGTCTTACCCAGGTACCCTGACGGAACGTCTTACCCAGGTACCCTGACGGAACGTCTTACCCAGGTACCCTGACGGAACGTCTTACCCAGGTACCCTGACGGAACGTCTTACCCAGGTACCCTGACGGAACGTCTTACCCAGGTACCCTGACGGAACGTCTTACCCAGGTACCCTGACGGAACGTCTTACCCAGGTACCCTGACGGAACGTCTTACCCAGGTACCCTGACGGAACGTCTTACCCAGGTACCCTGACGGAACGTCTTACCCAGGTACCCTGACGGAACGTCTTACCCAGGTACCCTGACGGAACGTCTTACCCAGGTACCCTGACGGAACGTCTTACCCAGGTACCCTGACGGAACGTCTTACCCAGGTACCCTGACGGAACGTCTTACCCAGGTACCCTGACGGAACGTCTTACCCAGGTACCCTGACGGAACGTCTTACCCAGGTACCCTGACGGAACGTCTTACCCAGGTACCCTGACGGAACGTCTTACCCAGGTACCCTGACGGAACGTCTTACCCAGGTACCCTGACGGAACGTCTTACCCAGGTACCCTGACGGAACGTCTTACCCAGGTACCCTGACGGAACGTCTTACCCAGGTACCCTGACGGAACGTCTTACCCAGGTACCCTGACGGAACGTCTTACCCAGGTACCCTGACGGAACGTCTTACCCAGGTACCCTGACGGAACGTCTTACCCAGGTACCCTGACGGAACGTCTTACCCAGGTACCCTGACGGAACGTCTTACCCAGGTACCCTGACGGAACGTCTTACCCAGGTACCCTGACGGAACGTCTTACCCAGGTACCCTGACGGAACGTCTTACCCAGGTACCCTGACGGAACGTCTTACCCAGGTACCCTGACGGAACGTCTTACCCAGGTACCCTGACGGAACGTCTTACCCAGGTACCCTGACGGAACGTCTTACCCAGGTACCCTGACGGAACGTCTTACCCAGGTACCCTGACGGAACGTCTTACCCAGGTACCCTGACGGAACGTCTTACCCAGGTACCCTGACGGAACGTCTTACCCAGGTACCCTGACGGAACGTCTTACCCAGGTACCCTGACGGAACGTCTTACCCAGGTACCCTGACGGAACGTCTTACCCAGGTACCCTGACGGAACGTCTTACCCAGGTACCCTGACGGAACGTCTTACCCAGGTACCCTGACGGAACGTCTTACCCAGGTACCCTGACGGAACGTCTTACCCAGGTACCCTGACGGAACGTCTTACCCAGGTACCCTGACGGAACGTCTTACCCAGGTACCCTGACGGAACGTCTTACCCAGGTACCCTGACGGAACGTCTTACCCAGGTACCCTGACGGAACGTCTTACCCAGGTACCCTGACGGAACGTCTTACCCAGGTACCCTGACGGAACGTCTTACCCAGGTACCCTGACGGAACGTCTTACCCAGGTACCCTGACGGAACGTCTTACCCAGGAACCCTGACGGAACGTCTTACCCAGAAACCCTGACATTCACCTACCATTCAGCACCTTTTGTATGGTACCAAATGTTGTGTTTTTCCTCTTGAGAAGTTTTGACCTACAATAGTCTACGATGTTTTCCTTTGCCGTATGCTTGTGAGTTTGTCTCGAGATTCGTTATGTTCCTACGCTTCTTTGGCGAAACCTTTGGAACAGAAACATCTTCACTGAGCATTGTATGAACTTCAGGGAGTTGATTGATCAAAATTTGGAGCAAGTTTGTGTCTTGGGTCTTGGTAAAGTCAAACATCTACATGAAGGTGCCTTCAGTCGTCCACATGAAGGTGCCTTCAGTCGTCCACATGAAGGTGTCTTCAGTCGTCCACATGAAGCTGTCTTCAGTCTTCCACATGAATCTCTCTTCAGTCGTCCACATGAAGCTCTCTTCAGTTGTCCACATGAATGTCCTCAGTCCAGCACATGAAGGTGCCTTCTATCTTCCACTTGAAGGTGTCTTCCATCGTCCACATGAAGGTGTCTTCCGCCATCCACATGAAGGTGGCTCCAATCTTCCACATGAAGGTGTCTTCCGCCGTCCACATGAAGGTGTCTTCCGCCGTCCACATGAAGGTGTCTTCCGCCGTCCACATGAAGGTGTCTTCCGCCGTCCACATGAAGGTGTCTTCCGCCGTCCACATGAAGGTGTCTTCAGCCGTCCACATGAAGGTGTCTTCAGCCGTCCACATGAAGGTGCATTCAGCCGTCCACATGAAGGTGTCTTCCGCCTTCCACATGAAGGTGTCTTCCGCCGTCCACATGAAGGTGCCTTCAGTCGTCCACATGAAGGTGCCTTCCGCCATCCACATGAAGGTGTCTTCAGCCGTCCACATGAAGGTGCCTTCCGCCATCCACATGAAGGTGTCTTCAGCCGTCCACATGAAGGTGCCTTCAGCCGTCCACATGAAGGTGCCTTCCGCCATCCACATGAAGGTGTCTTCAGCCGTCCACATGAAGGTGCCTTCAGCCGTCCACATGAAGGTGTATTCAGCCGTCCACATGAAGGTGTATTCAGCCGTCCACATGAAGGTGTATTCAGCCGTCCACATGAAGCTGTCTTCACCAATCCACATGAAGGTGTCTTCACTTGCCCACGCAGAGGTGATAGCACATTCCTTTTTAGAAACAAAACACTTCCAAATGAAAGATGAGTTGCAAACGTGACAAGTTAGGGTGAAGCCCAGAGTGTTGGGAGGTTGTCCTGCATCCCCCCCATGGAGGTGCAAGTAATGGAAAAGGTCCTGCTTCTACTCCCCTTGCTTGCTCCCTAAGACTAAAAGCAATACTCCGCATCTACACTCTTGCTGTGCTTGGTCCTCTTACCTTCCCATGGGCCAAACCTATACATTCACTTCAGCCCCTCTCCCAAGATGCCCTGCTACTAAGGGGGCGGGGCTGTCACTCAACCCTACAGTGTTTTCTCGTCACAACTCTCCTTAAGAGGTCAGCTTCGTGTTTTCTGAGGTGTATATCAAAATGTGCTTCTACCCAGTGTGAGATCCCTGATGTACGGCAAAATAGGACCCATATAGAAGCCTTTTCCCACACGCCGTATCCTAATACACCTCGAGGGTTGTATGGGCTCTCTGTTTGGTAAAATATGGCTTCCCTGAAAAACTTTTCCCCAACTAGGCGCAGGAATTCGGATTTTCTCCATTGTGATATTATTGGTCAGTAGGAAAGCAGGAAGTCGCACACCAATGGCATCAGATTATGTTCAATTTTATTAAACCTAGACCTAGCACACTACAGCCTCCCCCTAGGACCTCCCATGCATAACATATGCCCAATACAGACTTGATAACAGCAGGAATGTGGGCTTTACCTGGTGTGAATTTTGTGATGTAGAACAAGTTTTGATTTCTGTGAAAAACATTTCCCACACTCCGAGCAGGAATATGGCTTCTCCCCTGTGTGAGTTCTTTGATGTTTGTACAGAACCGTTTTCTGCGAAAAACATTTCTTCAGCCGTCCACATGAAGGTGCCTTCCGCCATCCACATGAAGGTGTCTTCAGCCGTCCACATGAAGGTGCCTTCAGCCGTCCACATGAAGGTGTATTCAGCCGTCCACATGAAGGTGTATTCAGCCGTCCACATGAAGGTGTATTCAGCCGTCCACATGAAGCTGTCTTCACCAATCCACATGAAGGTGTCTTCACTTGCCCACGCAGAGGTGATAGCACATTCCTTTTTAGAAACAAAACACTTCCAAATGAAAGATGAGTTGCAAACGTGACAAGTTAGGGTGAAGCCCAGAGTGTTGGGAGGTTGTCCTGCATCCCCCCCATGGAGGTGCAAGTAATGGAAAAGGTCCTGCTTCTACTCCCCTTGCTTGCTCCCTAAGACTAAAAGCAATACTCCGCATCTACACTCTTGCTGTGCTTGGTCCTCTTACCTTCCCATGGGCCAAACCTATACATTCACTTCAGCCCCTCTCCCAAGATGCCCTGCTACTAAGGGGGCGGGGCTGTCACTCAACCCTACAGTGTTTTCTCGTCACAACTCTCCTTAAGAGGTCAGCTTCGTGTTTTCTGAGGTGTATATCAAAATGTGCTTCTACCCAGTGTGAGATCCCTGATGTACGGCAAAATAGGACCCATATAGAAGCCTTTTCCCACACGCCGTATCCTAATACACCTCGAGGGTTGTATGGGCTCTCTGTTTGGTAAAATATGGCTTCCCTGAAAAACTTTTCCCCAACTAGGCGCAGGAATTCGGATTTTCTCCATTGTGATATTATTGGTCAGTAGGAAAGCAGGAAGTCGCACACCAATGGCATCAGATTATGTTCAATTTTATTAAACCTAGACCTAGCACACTACAGCCTCCCCCTAGGACCTCCCATGCATAACATATGCCCAATACAGACTTGATAACAGCAGGAATGTGGGCTTTACCTGGTGTGAATTTTGTGATGTAGAACAAGTTTTGATTTCTGTGAAAAACATTTCCCACACTCCGAGCAGGAATATGGCTTCTCCCCTGTGTGAGTTCTTTGATGTTTGTACAGAACCGTTTTCTGCGAAAAACATTTACCGCACTCAGGACATAAAAAAGGCCTCTCCCCTGTGTGAGATCTCTGATGTATAACAAGGTCTGATTTCCGATAATAACATTTTTCACACTCGGAGCAGGAATGCGGCCTCTCCCCAGTGTGAAATCTTTGATGGGAAACAAGGTCTGCTTTCTGCGAAAAACATCTCCCACACTCGAGGCAGGCATATGGCTTTTCCCCTGTGTGAGTTCTCTGATGTCTAACAAGGGCTAATTTCCTTGGAAAACATTTTCCACACTCTGGGCAGGAATGCGGCTTCTCCCCTAAGTGCACTACCTGATGTCTGGAAAGATAAGCCTTTTCTGAAAAACGTTTCCCGCACTCAGAGCAAGAATACGGCTGCACCCCCCTGTGAGATCTGTAATGTATGACGAGTTCTGGTATCGTAAAAAATTTCCCGCACTCTGTACAAGAATAAAGCTTCCCGCCCGTGTGAGACTTCTGATGTTCAGAAAGACTTATTTCAGAGCTAAAACCATCCCCGCACTCAGGACAGGAAAATGTCTTCTCCCCCTGAATTCCGGCACCATCCCCCGTAGTACGAGGTTCCTCAGAGTCAGAGGGAGTCCATGGTCTACCCACACTGTGACGTCCACCATCCATAGCTGAGCTCATTGTCTCTTCTCCCGCACAATCTGCTGTGATGTCCTCATCTTCCATCTTACAACCTGGAGATAAAGTCAGACGATCCTTTGAGGGTTCCTCCATGGCGTGTCCTGGAAACATAGAGACACATGATGGAGAGATATGAGAGGGTTAGATAACTTCACTCAACATTCCATCTGGATCAGGAGGTCTGAGGGAGCGGATGTTCTATGAGGAGGTCCCAACCAACTGGAACTCCTCCCCTCTTCAGTCAAAGGGCCTCCTCCCAGATCACTTCTACATTGACACAGCCTTGTCAGAAGAGGCAGAGCCGATAGGGACTGGTAGGAGCATGTTCCTCACCCAACCACAAGCCTAGGCACAGAGTCATGTGACCTCTGATAAACAAGAGCTTCAAAGTTCTGACTTGTAGACCCTTCACCACAGAACAAGAGACCACAGGCCTAGTGTGACGGAGCCGATTCTACTGTACGGTCACCAATGACAAGGACACTTTAAGTTCTTCTTTAGAGCATAGAGATGGTGTAGGTACCACACTTGACATAACTGTGATGTGTCCTTAGGCCTCTGGACCTCCCGAGCCAACAATGTTTGCCTGTGCTCCGTATCATAGGAGACATCTACAAATCTAGTCATTATTAATGTCTCACTCCGAGGTCCAAAGTTATGAACACTGAGTGAGATTTTGGGGTGAGGTTCGGGTCATTTGCTCGTGATCAGGTCATCTTTGTGTGTTTACTAGGTCGGTCAAGTGATAATCGGTCTCCTGGCTTGCTCAATGCTTTATGATGCCCCACCCATGAAAGGCAGGCACCTGGAAAAACAAGGCGGGCACTTAGACTGAGGAAGGTGAAGGATTTTCTTTTGAAGACCCTTTGACCAGAAACAAACATATCCAGAAGTGGCTTTTATTCCAGCAACGGAGGGGACAAAGGGAACTTCCTTATTAGTATTGGGGTGCCCAGACCTCATTACCGTCACACCTGGGCTTCTGGGTGGTTCAGTCATTATGCTTCTCCTTACTCTTCATCCCAACAAGACTGTTAGAGTTTTATGAAGACATTTAGCTGCTGGAAGAAGAGGAACCAACCGAAGGAAGGCTCAGTCTGTGTCCTCATATCTGAGCTACTGGACGTAGGAGTGATACCCCACCTGATACTGCCAACTGAACCCCCGGAACGGTATCAGTACAGGGAGGTGACCTATTATTGGCTGATGTCACTTAGCTCCGCCCTAATCTGGACCAATCAGTGTGCAGGAACAGAGCAGAGATAACAGAATATATTGTGACCCACCTGTGCTGATCTCCGTAGGAGTGTCCTCCACTATGGATGTCCTCGTCATTCCATCCTCCTCCATGGACGTCCTCATCATCCCGGCCTCCTCCGTATATCGCTGATCATCCCTCACATACGTCTCTTCTACTTCACCCTCAACTTTCATCTTCATCAGATCTTCACCCTAAACCAACAGAACGGCAGAAAGTCTCATCTGTGACATAGAAGTATTTATGATGTGACATCACATAGAAGATCTCATCTTGTAGAGTCCACACGTCATCTCCACATGTCAGAGCGTTCCATCACTTTATGTTCCCGCCCCTCAACTCCACCCACCTGATCATGGAGGGGGACGGTGAGATCTTCCTGGGTGGTATCCCGGGAATACAGAGGACGGGGACATCTCCCTGGTGGGTTCCTCTTACTAGATGGCTCCATCATAATGTCCATGTGTCCTTCAGAAAACTCCTCCATCACCCCGTACTCCCCATCTTCCTCTTTACACTCTTCTTTAAAAACAATAATATAATCCCCGGGGTCTCCACTCTGGATATAGAATAAAACAATCATTGTAACAAACATTCTTGTATATAAATCATGCATAACAATAATTGTTAATCATCTACCTGATCATGGTGTCCATAGTTATGATCTTCTTTTGCAGATTCCTTGGAATACAGAGGACGGGGACATGTCTCTGGTGGGTTTCTGTTATTAGGTGGCTCCATCATGATGTCCTTGTTTCCTTCAGTTTTATCTACCTGGTCATGGTGGGGGACGGTGAGATCTTCCTGGGTGGAGTCCCGGGAATACAGGGGGCGGGGACATCTCTCTGGTGGGTTCCTCTTACTAGGTGGCTCCCTCATATTCTTGTGTCCATCTGATAACTCCTCCATCACCCCGTAGTCCTCGTCCTCCTCTTTATACTCGTCTTTAACAACAATGTTATAATCCCCAAAGTTTCTCTGGGAATATGATAAAACATTTATTTTAACAAACATGGTTGTGTACACATTATAACTATCAATAACTATTAATCACCCACCTGATAATGGTGTCCATAGTTGTGATCTTCCTGGGTGGGGTCCCGGGAACACAGGGGGCGGGGACATCTCTCATGGTGGGGGATGGTGAGATCCTCCTGGGTGGAGTCCCGGGAATACAGGGGGCGGGGACATCTCTCATGGCGGGGGAGGGTGAGTATCACATGATCACCGGACTTCAGAAGAGGAAAACTCTGAAAGAACAAGGATATTATGTGACCTCCCAGAATCCTCCTCACCTCTCCGGTCAGGTCTGTGTGTTATGAATAGAGATCAGGGTGATATCATGTGACCTCCCAGAATCCTCCTCACCTCTCCAGTCAGCAGGTAGATGATCTCCAGGGTGAGGTTCAGTATCCTCTCGGTCATGTGACTCCGGTCCTCCTCCATCCTCATTAATGTGGTCATGTGATCTCTGTAGAGGAGAATGATGAGGACTGTACTGGGTGTATGATATCAGGATGGGGATATGAGGGGTTAATAGTCGGGTTGCCCCCGGTGGGATTTGTCTCGTGAAGATCGGGGTATTTGTTGGGTTTCTTGTCCTTTTCTGATATATTTTGTCTCTGAACTATTTTTGCTTTTATCTTTCCCCACCTAATAATGGCTGCTGACCGGGGTCAGTGGCTGCGCAGGGCATGGGGTTGCCACCGTTTCCTCAAGGGAAATCCGAGAACTCTAGCGCCGCATGGCAATTTAATTCTTTTTTCTCGAGATTATAGAGGAGAGACGGCCAGGAGAGAGAGAGAGAGAGGAGAGACGGCCAGGAGAGAGAGCGAGAGGAGAGACGGCCAGGAGAGAGAGCGAGAGGAGAGACGGCCAGGAGAGAGAGCGAGAGGAGAGACGGCCAGGAGAGAGAGCGAGAGGAGAGACGGCCAGGAGAGAGAGCGAGAGGAGAGACGGCCAGGAGAGAGAGCGAGAGGAGAGACGGCCAGGAGAGAGAGCGAGAGGAGAGACGGCCAGGAGAGAGAGCGAGAGGAGAGACGGCCAGGAGAGAGAGCGAGAGGAGAGACGGCCAGGAGAGAGAGCGAGAGGAGAGACGGCCAGGAGAGAGAGCGAGAGGAGAGACGGCCAGGAGAGAGAGCGAGAGGAGAGACGGCCAGGAGAGAGAGCGAGAGGAGAGACGGCCAGGAGAGAGAGCGAGAGGAGAGACGGCCAGGAGAGAGAGCGAGAGGAGAGACGGCCAGGAGAGAGAGCGAGAGGAGAGACGGCCAGGAGAGAGAGCGAGAGGAGAGACGGCCAGGAGAGAGAGCGAGAGGAGAGACGGCCAGGAGAGAGAGCGAGAGGAGAGACGGCCAGGAGAGAGAGCGAGAGGAGAGACGGCCAGGAGAGAGAGCGAGAGGAGAGACGGCCAGGAGAGAGAGCGAGAGGAGAGACGGCCAGGAGAGAGAGCGAGAGGAGAGACGGCCAGGAGAGAGAGCGAGAGGAGAGACGGCCAGGAGAGAGAGCGAGAGGAGAGACGGCCAGGAGAGAGAGCGAGAGGAGAGACGGCCAGGAGAGAGAGCGAGAGGAGAGACGGCCAGGAGAGAGAGCGAGAGGAGAGACGGCCAGGAGAGAGAGCGAGAGGAGAGACGGCCAGGAGAGAGAGCGAGAGGAGAGACGGCCAGGAGAGAGAGCGAGAGGAGAGACGGCCAGGAGAGAGAGCGAGAGGAGAGACGGCCAGGAGAGAGAGCGAGAGGAGAGACGGCCAGGAGAGAGAGCGAGAGGAGAGACGGCCAGGAGAGAGAGCGAGAGGAGAGACGGCCAGGAGAGAGAGCGAGAGGAGAGACGGCCAGGAGAGAGAGCGAGAGGAGAGACGGCCAGGAGAGAGAGCGAGAGGAGAGACGGCCAGGAGAGAGAGCGAGAGGAGAGACGGCCAGGAGAGAGAGCGAGAGGAGAGACGGCCAGGAGAGAGAGCGAGAGGAGAGACGGCCAGGAGAGAGAGCGAGAGGAGAGACGGCCAGGAGAGAGAGCGAGAGGAGAGACAGCCAGGAGAGAGGAGAGACGGCCATGAGAGAGAGCGAGAGGAGAGACGGCCATGAGAGAGACGGCCAGGAGAGAGAGCGAGAGGAGAGACGGCCAGGAGAGAGAGCGGGAGGAGAGACGGCCAGGAGAGAGAACGAGAGGAGAGACGGCCAGGAGAGAGAGCGAGAGGAGAGACGGCCAGGAGAGAGAGCGGGAGGAGAGACGGCCAGGAGAGAGAACGAGAGGAGAGACGGCCAGGAGATTGAGAGGAGAGATAGCCCCGAGAGTGTGCCATTCCAGACCTATCTTGAGAGAGCGAGAGGAGAGACGGCCAGGAGAGAGAGCGAGAGGAGAGACGGCCAGGAGATTGAGAGGAGAGATAGCCCCGAGAGTGTGCCATTCCAGACCTATCTGCACCCCGTGTTTCAGACACCTCCTTGCTCCCCAAGTTGCAGTGTCTCTCCGTGGTCCCGTACCTCCTCCATGCACTTGTTTCGGAACACCAGGCCCCCGCCCACCTGACATCCTGTGTCCGGGTTTCAGCTGGCCAGGCACAGTACCTACGCGATTCAACTCCCGGACTGTCCAGGTGAATCCCAGGCCAGTGACAACCCTATCATTGCATTGTGGTGTAAGCACCAGAAATTCAACCAAAATTCGAATTCTGGAAATTTGGGCCAAAATTTGGGTAAAATTTCAGCATAACCCGAATCTGAATCTAAAACAAGAGACTGCTCAGGGGAAAAGGTGTAAACATCTCCAAAATTAAGG